GGCGACAAGCATTTATTAAGCATTATTTATTATTTATTTATTTATCAAGCCTGAGCACCTACTATGTGCCAGGCACTGTGCTAAGTTCTTTGCAAATATTATCTCATTAGATCCTCACAACAACTTTGGGGGGGGGGGTAGGTGCTATTATTATCCCCATTTTATAGCTGAGGAAACTGAGGCAGGTTAAATGGCTTACCCAGGATCATACAGCTAGTAAATGTCTGAGGTTGGATTTGAACTCAGGTCTTCTCTCCTCCAGTCCGAATTCTCTATCCACTGTGACACCCAGATGCTTCTGAGGTCATCTAGTCTATCTCTCTCTTTTTACAAACCAAAAAACTGATGCCCAGAAATGTTAAATAGCTTGCCTTAGGTCCTACTGAGTCAGATTCCCTTAGCTGGTAGCTAGTCCCCACTCCAATGGCTATTTTCTTTTTTCTTTTTCAAAAAATGCATTGATATCTTCTGTTTTGACTTTATTTCCAAATATATGCTTTACCCTCTACTTCCCACAAAGCCATCCTTTGTAATAAAGAATAAAAAAGAAAGAGGAAAAAAGTAATTCAGCAAATGAATCTGATGGTATATGCCATATCCCAAGCCCATAGTCCCCCCCCCCCCTTCTGCAAAGAAAGAAGAGAGGCATATATTCTCACATCTTTGCTAGGGTCAAGCTTGGTCCCAGGGACCATTCTCTTTCTTTCTTCTTCTAAAATTGTTTGTGTAGATACCTTTTTGTTTGAACATTCCATTCATTTCTGAGAGTACCCCTCCCCCTTCTCATATCCATCGAACCCAGTATAATGAAGAATAAGAGAAAAAAAAGAAAAAAAAAATCCAGTTCAGCAAAAGTAATCAGTACATCAACTGAGTTTCACAGTATATTTAATGTCCACCTCCAGAGACCCCCACCTCCTTCAGAAAAAGGAGGGAGGTGCATTTTCTCAACTCTTCTGGGGGGCTTACCTGGAGGGCCCTCTTACCCTAGCCTGAGTCTTTCTTTTATCGTCTCTCAAGAGTTCTCCAGCCCCAGGTAGATTACCAAGCACTTTTATCACATTTGCCCGCTGAGGAAGGCCATATAGTTTACAGAGGTAGCTGGGAACCAAGACCCAGGGTGGTGAATTTGCTTACCCACAGTCAGAGGGTTAATTAGTGGCAGAGCTCATGCTGGAATAAGGTCTCTCAATTTCTTTTTCATGGCAGCCTGATGTTAGTTGTTCTGAATTTGCCCCCATCACCCTCTCTGTTTTCTAGCTTTTTCAGAAGTATCTGAGCTCTCAGACTCACAAAATCACGGCATTAGAAGGGATGTGAGAGCTGGTAAACCCCATAGAAAACCAGCCATTCTCTCTACACTACTCCAGAGCAATGGTCCTGTCTCTATTTGAGTACTTTCACATGGGGAAAGCCTCAGAGCTGTCAGGCACCATAGAAACTCAGGATCTGCTCCCTCATTTCACAAGTGAGAAAACTGATCTCATCAGAGAGTCAATAAACATTTATTGGGCACCTACTATGTGCAAGGCACTATGTTAAGAAGTGGGGATAAAAAAAAAAAAGACAAAAGATAGCCCTTCCCCTTAAGGAGCTTATAATCACACAGGTAGAATGGAGCTGAAACTTGAACCCAGACCCTTTGACCTAGGTCATTGGGCCTTGCATGGAGTGGTTTGGGAACCAGTTCTAGTTCTAGCTTCCTGGGGGACATGCTGATGACACTCCTGCAAACCTTCCTCTGTCCTCAGCAGTCTTCTCTCCCTCTTTTTAATAACCTCCCTGGAAGCCAGTGGCTCTCACTTTCCCCCCCACCCCCACCCCCAAAGCCCTGGTAAAGAGGATGGGTGGAGTTCTGGAAGGTTCTTTGGGGATGAAAGTCCCTCCCCTCTACAACACATCAGCATTCTACCTCTCTTTGGGGTTACAACTAAGATGTAAATAATCAACCCAGAGTTTCTTGCAGAGGTATTCATGGATGTGGATGGGTGAGTGGTGTACTATGGGTGTATAATGCTACATATACTGCTAGAGTCAGTTGCTGTGCTAGTTAGCTTTGCTGAACTGCTTTTCTTCATTTTGGGGGGCATTTTTTCTTACAAGGGATGGTTCATTAGGTAGGGAGGGGGATATATTTGCAAAGGAACATATATAAGAAAGAAAACATAGCAATGAAAATTAAAAAGAAACCGAAAAATGGGGGGGCGGGGAATGACCATTGGGATCAAGCTTGACTCCAGAGAAGATTTGAGAAACCCACCTCCCTCCCTTATTGGCTGAGGTGGGGGACCATAGGTGAGGAACATTGTCTATAACATCAGACTGAAATATGTGTTGGTTAGCTTTGCTGAACTGCCTTTTGTCTCTCTTTTTATTTTTTCCTTACAAGGGAAAGTGGATTAGGAGGAGGGATCTATTTGGAAATGAAAATGATGTTAAAAAAAAAAGAAAATATAGCAATAAAAATGTAAAAAAAAAAAGTAAAAAAATGAAAGGGGTGGGGAGGGGGAGAATGGTCATTGGGACTAAGCTTGACTCTAGAGAAAATTTGAGCAAATCCGGTTCCCTCCCTTCTTTGCAGTGGTGGGGGGACTATGGGTGTGGAACATTGCCTGTAATTTGGTTAATGTGCTTGTCAGTTTTGCCGGACTGCCATTTTTCTTTCTTCTAGAAAAAAATTTTCTTGCAAGGGATGGATTTCCGGGTAGAGGGAGGGCTATAGGTGGAAAAACAAGCTGATAGAAAAAAAATAAAGAAAAGATAGCAATAAAAATTAAAAAGAAAACAAAATAAAGAAAGAAAAAGGGAGGAAGATGGCCATTAATACCAATCTGGGTACTAAAAGGGAAGATTTTCGAAAATGCACCAGCCTCCCTCCTCTGCAGAGGTTGGGGAGGGCGGGGAAGGGGAAGGGACCGTGGGTGTGAAACATTGCCTGTAATGTCAGACTCTGTTGACATGGTGGTTAGTTTTCCTGAATTGTTTCTCCCTTTCCTTCTCTTTTTTATTTTTTGTTAAGAGGGAGGCTTGCTGGATAGGGGAGAGGGACACATTCTGAAATGAGGGTAATATAAGAGCAAATGATATCAATACAAATGAAAGAACAGTAAAAACCGGAGTAAAAAACTACGGTGAGGGTAGCGCTGTAATTAATACATTAGCTCTTTAGCAGATCAGATTATCCAAGTAGCCTTAGGATCATAGGATTACAGATTTTTGAGCTGAAAGGGACCTTCGAGATCTAGTCTAGTATTTTGCAGGAGGAAGAAATAAGCACAGAGAGGTTTAGCAACCTCCCCAAATTCCTACAGGTAGCTAGTAGCAAATTTGGGAATCTGGACTCGGATCCTCTGCTTTGAAATCCAATGTCTCTTAAAATGCATCCCGGATGTCACCCTGGACCATAATTGGCACGAATTACCCTGTTTTAGGAGTTGATTTGGTAGACAAGTCTAAAAAAAATCAAAATTAATGCAGTAAAAAACAAAACCAAATTTAAAGAAAAAAACCCTAAACAGGCAACAAAATCCCTTTGTCATGCTGGTTTAAGGTAGAAGAATATCCCCCTCCTTAAAGGCTAACAGCATTTGGGCATGCATATGTGTATAAACATGTATACATACATACACACACGAAGCAATGCCTCATCACCAAGGAATGGGCTATTTCATATAACTGCATTTCCTGGGAAAATTGAAGTTTCTCCCCTTTTAAGCTATCGGTGTGTATATAGGAAAGAGAATTTCAGTACCGCAGAATCTCAGAACGCAGCTGGGTTGTGATTCCGGACTAGAGAAGTTGTTCCCCCCCCCCCTGGGCGGCGGGGGTGGGGGAAGATCATCTGGTCCAATCCCCTCCTTTTAACTGGGGGGTGAGAGCTGAGAAGCGCTTTGCTTCTGGACACAGCTCGGAAGTAGCCGCTCCGGAATTGGGAAGCGACTCCTTCGCCTTCCAGCCAGCGCTCCTTTCGCCGCAGAGCCCCGGCAAAGGTCTGCAGTCCTGCAAGGGGCCTCGGGAGGGTTAAGGGGCACCGAGAGGGGACCCGTTGGTCGCGGCTTCGGCGGGGGGCACTGGGAAGGGGGCAACTTGGGCAACTTCTCGACCCTGGAGGGGACCTGTTGAGTGGCGCGATCGGCGGCGGCGGCGGCAGGTGTCCGCTCCTGCCGCCGCCGCCGCCGCCAGCCTGATCTTCCCGGGGTCCCAAAGGGGCTCGTGCAGCCGCCGCCGCCGCCGCCGCCGCCACCGCCACCACCTCCGCCACCACCTCCTCTCCCTGAGCCGCATCCCCCTTAGCTGATCGTGCCCTAGCCGCCGTTTCTCCCGGAGAGGCTCATTTGGCCGCCCTTCGTGCCTCTGGTGCCGTTCCCGCCGCCGCGCACCTAAAGCTGCCGGTACAGGCAAGTGCGTCTGGGTGGGTGGGGGCTGCAAAGTTGAGCTTTCTGGGGAGCTTCACTGGCACCGGCAGGCCGGAACAGCACCAGAGGCATAAGCCGCAGCCAAATGAGCCTCTTCGGGAAAAACGGCGGCGGCACGAGAGGATGAAGCGGTTCGTGAGGGGTGGCAGGAGAGGCGCAAGCCAGAGCTGGGGCCAGAGACGGGCTCTTAGCTCCGGCAGCCCCGCCACCGCTTCTCCTGTACCCCCCTCCGCCCCCTCCCCCTTAAGGCGCTGGGCACCGTGCACCAGGAGAGCGGGAGCTGCGGCGGGCGGGGGGGCAGAGGGGGCGAGGGAGGGGGCGGGATGGTTGGAGAACCGCAGCCTGAGCTGGAGAGACCCCGCCCCCTGAGCCCCCCTGGAGGGAGGTGGGCGGGGCTGGGCGGAGCCAAAGGAGCTCTCAGCCAATCAGCGAGAGCCCTAAGCCCCGCCCACACCGTCAAGCGCCTTGGTTCTCTGGCGCGCAGCTCTCCTGCCTCACTCGCGCTTCGCTCCGGACGACGGACAAGCCTCTCCTGAGCCAGCCCGAGCCTCTCCAACCCCCGCCCCCCCCCCAGCGCCCCCCCAGCGCCCTCTGGCGCTCCTTTTCCGCTGCCCTAGCGCCCTTTTCGTATCCTGCCGCCTATTTACCTCCACCCGGCCCCCTGCCAGTCCCCGCTGCTTTCCGTTGCCCTCAGCTATCCTCTGCTGCCACCCGCTGCCCCCCCTAGCCCTCTCCCTTCCTAATTCCCCTTTTCCACCCTTCCTCCAATCGCTCCCTTCTCCCCTGCTGCCTTCCACCCCCTCCCCTGTTGCTTTCCGCCTTTCTCCACTGCCGTCGGTGCTAGAGGAGAAACCTTGTGCGCTTTCTCTCCCTTGCTTCAAGTTGAAGCTACTTGTCCCAGGGCAAGTGCAGAGGCTGGGGGCAGCTCAGACAGGGCACCACAAGAAAAGCTTAGAGATTGCCTTTTCTTTTAAATTCCTTAACGTTTGACAAGGTTCGGTTGTCGGGTCTTTCGCCCGAAGGTAATGAGTTTTCTCTTTTATTCCCCCTCCCCAGGCTGGTCAGTTTTGGCCCAGGGGCTGCGCGGCGGGTGGGGGGCATCTTAGTGAGGTGGAGTGAGATGGGGAAATTAGACTGTCCTGTGGCCTTTTGGGACACAGAGGGCTTGGGGCTATGGATTTCCCATAGAATCCAGCCCTGGAACGTTCCGGGGTAGAGAGGCAGACTTGGAGACAGGTCGGCGAATTTTTTGGGGGGGGAGGAGGACAAGACTAGTGAGCCCTTTGTAAGGGTTATGGGAAACCGTTTTGTAGGCTCTCGACGGAAGAGCCACTTTAGAGATCGTCTTTCCTTTCCTTTTGTGGAGGAGAAAACTGAGGTACTGAGGGTAGGAGACATGCCCCAGGTCGCACAGTAAGTGGCAGAGCAAAGACTTGAACCCAGGGCTTCAGACAATAAATTCAGGAAATTTGACAGTTTCTGGGGGCAGGACTAGAGGGAGAGCTAAATTTGCCCCTGATGCTTGTTCAACTTTGTATCGAATGCATTTATTCATAAGCATTGTGGGGAGGGGGGAGCAATTGTGGAGGAGACCTTGGCAGGGATGTAGGAGACCCTATGTTCAAACTTGGGCTCTTTCATTGACGTGCACTAGAGAGGGCTGTTTGAGGAGCACCTGTTGACAAGGCTGGCTGTAAGATCGTCTTAGTGTTCCTTTTATGTAACAGAATTTGTGGAGCAGAAAAGGTCTTGGGACCCCCCTACTATGTGCCAGGCATGGTGGGGGCCACAGAAGACAAGGGGGCTAAGACCTAGGACAGTCAGAATGCCTGGGTTCTAGTCTCAGCTCTGTCACAGATTGACTATATTCTCTAGAACAAGCCCCCCCTCTTTCCTTTTTTCAGCCTCAAAATAATGAGGATTAGACTAAGTGGTCACTAAAGTCCTTTCCAGCTCTAGATCCTATGATTTGTTGCTAGACAAATCAGTAGGGGTGGGGTGGGGTGGAGTAGATCTGGTTTGGGTGGAGGGAAAGTGAGGGAGTTGGAAGTGGAAAGGTACTATGTGGAGTGTTGGTGTGGACACAAGAATGATGGGAGGGGGGAGGGAGGAGGTCGATGTGAGCCTTGTCTTGGTGCTGGAGAGGAATGGTTGATAAAGATAGTATGGGGTGCTTGTTCTTCAGGGGTCCCCTAGATGACCAGAATAGTGGGAGTGACCATTGGGGTTCAAGGGGGTAGGAGCTCACCTCTTCGGTGTTAACATCTAGCTATCTACTGGGATTTATCTCTGACAGGACAAATCTCCCTTCAGAACCTGAGAACCAAGCACCCTGAGGATGGGGGGGGGCGGTGTCGAAGTTGGGGGTAGGGAGAGAGAAACTGTCTTGTTGACCCTTCCTGATGTTCTGAGGAAGTGGATTGAGTCTTTGGACAAAAGGAGGGGAAGGGGAAGAGAAAAGACCCACCTTGGGTATATTTATTGGTGCTACTGAAATGGGAAAAAAAATTAAAATTAAAAAAATTCTAACCTTGGTATGGTATATTTTGCTTTGCAAATTGCCTCATATGTTATTGTTTTTCATCCTCAAAGCAATCCTGTGGGGTATCTAGGATAGAAATCACTGGCCCCATTTTACATAGGGGGAAACTGAGGCTTAGAGAGGTGAAGGGATGTGGCTGAGATCATCTAGTCTCACATATTTTATAGATGAGGAAACTGAGGCACTGAGATGAGAAAGGGATTTGCTTTTGGTTGCACAGCTAATAACAGCACCAAAAGCCAGTTTTGATTCCCCCCTCCAAAATGATTTTCAGACCTTAGAGATCATCTGGTTCCTCCCCCTCATTTTATAAATGAAGAAACTGAGGCACTGAGACGGAGAAGGCATTTGATCGCGGTGACGCAGTTAATAACAAACAGGCAGAGCCAGATTTAAAAGCCAGCTTTCTGTACCCCACTCACCCGAAACTGCTTCCCTCCCAATCCCCTAGAGTTTAGCACAGTGCCTGGCACATAGCAAGCCTTTAATCAGTGCTTGTTGATTGAGAATACTTGATTTTCAGAACTTAGAGATCATCTGGTCCCACCCCCTCATTTTATAAATGAGGAAACTGAGGCACTGAGACCAGGAAGGGATTTATTCTTTGTCACACAGATAAAAAGAGGCAGAGCCTGGTTTAAAAGCCAGTTTTCTCCTCCCCCCAAAAAAAAATTGACGCTTAGAGATCATCTGGTGCCACCCTCTCAATAAATAAATAATAAATGAAAAAATAAATGAGGAAATCGAGGCACTGAGACGGAGAAGGGACTTGATCATGGTTCACGAAGCTAATAAAAGGCAAGATTAAAAGCCAGTTTTCTGTGCCCCCCCCATCTCTGCATCGCACCCCCACCCCAGTCCCCCAGAGTTTACCACAGTGTCTGGCACATAGCAAACATTTAATCAATGCTTGTTGATTGAGAATACCTGACTTTCAGAGCTTAGAGATCTGGTCCCACCCCCTCATTTTATAAATGAGGAAACTGAGGCACTGAGCCAGGGAAGGGGCTTATTCTTGGTTGCGCAGCTAATAAAAGCCAAAGCCAAGATTAAAAGCCATTTTTTCCCCTGCCCCTTTATTCCCGTTCCCCCCCCCCATTCCTTCTACGCAGGCATATAAAGGCGCGCGCGCGCGCGCGCGCGCGCACACACACACACACACACACACACACACACACACAACGCACGCACACACCACATACCCTAGGCAGGAGGTTGAAAAACACACACACACACACACACACACACACACACACACACACACACCGCACGCACACACCACATACCCTAGGCAGGAGGCTGAAAAACACACACACACACACACACACACACACAACGCACGCACACACCACATACCCTAGGCAGGAGGCTGAAAAACACACACACACAACACACACACACAACACACACACACAACACACACACACACACACACACACACGGCAGGAGACTAAGGGGTATGGCATGATTTGAAGAGTCCCTGAGCAAAAAAACCTGTCCCTAAGTATTAATCTATCACTCTTTGTGAGAAAAATAATACTCTTCTCTTCCCCCCGCCCATTTAGATATGCATCCCCCCAGTAGCACTGTGACGCAGGTAGTATAGCACAAATGCATTACTTTGGTTTTTGAAGGGTTTGTTGTTCTTGTTTGTTGGTGTTGGTGGTGATGGTTTTTTGTTGTTGTTGTTTTCCCCCAGTATGGTGCAAATCCTTCAGGGAAGAGCCACACCCTCCTTCACCTCTCGCTCCTCCTCCTCCTTCTCCCCCCCCCCCACCTTAGTTGGGACTAGTTTACCCAGGTTTAGAAGCTACGCCCAGCTGCAGTTTGACGCAGGATAGGAGGAGGGGGCAGGGGCTTGGAGGAGGTGTGGATTAGCCTCCAGAGGCAAAAGTCACCTCCTTTGCAGGTTTGCTGAAGGGCCAGCCCTGTCTGTGGGACAGTGAGGAAGTCTGAGCTGTTCCTTAGCCTAAGAACATTATAGATTTAGGACTGGAAGGCATTTCAGAGGCCATCTAGTTCAATTCACTAATTTTCCAGAGGAGAGAACCGAGCCCTGGAGAGGATGAGGGACTTGCTTAGGGTCTCACAGATAGTAAGGGGCAGCAGAGGTGACATCCAAATCCTGGAGCTCTGAATCCAGAGCTTCTTTGTATGTTTCAGAGAACGTCCAGGCTGGGAAGGGAATTAGAATGTAGAACAGAGACTGTCAAAACTGGAAGAGACACAGACTGTCACAGCTGGGAGGGACCTTGAAATACAGAATATAACAACCAGGGAAAACCTTAGAATAGAGAACACAGTGTCAGAGATGGAAATGGCCCTAGACACCATAGATTTCCCCCCCCCCTTTCATTTTACAGAAGAGAAAATGAGGGTCTGATAAGGTGGCAGAGTCCAGACCAGGACATAGGTCTCCTGACACTAGCGCCACTAATAAGTGTAGTTTACGTGTCTGTAGCCCTTTATGTCCTATGTTGTTTTAAAGGCTTGAACTAGAATTGTGAGGTGTCTAGCATTCTGAAGAATGGTCCCTGATTTGACTAGGTAGCCAAAAATTGGGTCTGTGTCCCTCCCTAGCTGGGAATCTGATTCCCATTTTTTTGGGAATTAATGGGAATCAGATTCTATTTCTGTGCCTCAGTTTCCTCATCTGTAAGACAGACAGACTAGATCAATATTTCCCAAACTGTTATGTTCTACGGAGCTCAAGCATCCCCCTACAGTGTGAATAATGATGGTGATATTTGAAAATATGAAATTATGCATGTTTCAAAACACATGGGGTGCTTTTCACTGTGAAAATAAGCTTAATTTCCTCTATTTTTCCCCCTAACTCACTCCTCCATTTAGCCTGGGAGGTATTCAGTATATTGAGAGACGTTTAAAATGTTTGTTGAACTGAAATATGGATAAATAAGGTTGAAAAATACTGGCCTAGGTGAAGTATCCAGAACATTCTGTGATTCTGTGACACATCAGTTGAGCCTTATAACAAAATCTTTGTGAAGATTCTAGATTTATCCATGAAACAGACATGCACTGATTTGCCTGATAACATGTAGCAAAGCAAAGACTCAGACAAGGGATATGTGATGCTAGAGATAATGCTTTCCCCACTAACTGTGTTATGCTCCTCTTGAGGTCTATTAGCCCATCATCGTCTCCAGATTAGGACCCCCAGTTTTGAAGAGGTGAGGGGTCCCTCTTTGTAGGGAGCCTGGGTTTATTATTTACTTGTTTCTTTCTTGGTCTAGTCCTAGCCAGCTGGAAAAGTAGTTTCCTGTTTGTTTTTTTCCAGTCTGAGGGTATGATCTAGAGGCGCTATGTGTATGTGTGTTTGTGGTATGTTATTGACATTATATATGCATTTCTTTTGAAAAGAAACAGGCATTGGCAGAAAATTAGAGCCCTGTACTGGAAAGAATTCAGGGAGGGGAGGGGGTTATAATCAGAGATTCTGCCAATTTCTTATCTTCT